CAAGGGAGGGGTTTTCATGGACCAAGTGCTGATTTGGAATAACCCAAGGGCATTTGTCAGCCCAGGTTTTTCCAGGATGAGTAGGGATGCAAATTCTCTTCTATTTAGCAAACAGTGCTGCTTCCTCACTTTCCTAACACTAAGAATGTGGCAGGTTCCTCAAAGCTGTGCTGTCCTTCACCCAGAATTTCCCTCTCTCAGAGCTGGTGAAGACTTACGCCTTCAGAAAGGATCAGGCCCATCTGCTTTTCCCAGAGCTTGTGCTTATTCCTTTGCAGATTTCTTCCTTAAAGACACCCTACAAGATCCATCTCTGGAGTATAATCAGCATGGAGAACTGAAGTAAGGTTTTCCAAATCCTCAGTGCCAAGGTTTCAGCGTGGTGGGTTTGCACCCTGGCTGCACTTGTTGCATTCGATGGGTTTTGGCAGCCCTGGGGTTGTGTGGGCTGAGAAAGGCAGATCTGCAACCACCTCTGATAGAAAGGCTGGAGCAGTTGGGTGAAGCCTTTCCCTTCCCTCTGCTATGCTGGCTTTCCCCTTGGGACCTTTGCCTGCAGACCCGGGAGGACTTCACAAAGAGGGGAAATGCTGTCCCCGGCTGCGGCCAGCTGCTTTCTTTGGGAAGTCACAGCTTCCTTCCGCCCATTTACAGCCCCTGTGCATCGCAGTGGCAGCGCAGCCCTGCCGGCTCCCTGGCATGCTCACAGCAAACCTTCCTGGCCCTGCTGCCAGGGATGGCTCAGCTTCCCTCAAAGCTCAGGGAAGGTCATGGATGCTGTCAGAACGTGGCCCCTTAGGACGTAAAGGTTGTGTTTTCATTCCCTACCCTAAACCGCGAGACATTACTCTGTTCCCTTCTCCAGCCCTGCGTTGTCATCTTGGGTTCATCAGACACCTGATGGGGGTTTTGTTCTGGATATTGCTCACTTTTCTCTGAAGGAACACGTGTAGTGGGTGAAGTGAGCCTGCTGGCTCAGCCTGCAGCAGCCCCTGAGGGTTTGGGGTCAGCAGAGCCCCCATAGGATGCAGCAGGTTGGGCTTCTGCAGCTCTTACAGCGCTGGCTGGGCCTACAGGGGGACTTTCCCCTGTGTTTTCTCTATGTGCACGTCAGAGATCACTTCTGCATCTCTGAGTAATGTGGATTTAATCATTTGATGCTACGCTGTATCTCTCATTCTTCCCACGTCCTCAGAACATCAGCCAGCTCGGCGGTGCTTGCCCTCAGTCCCTCCTTGTTTCAGTAATTGATGCTTTGTGGGGAACCCAGGGGCTTTGCTTAATGTTCCTGCCGACTCTGGCTCAGGAATGACTTCCAGCAGTACTTGTGTCTATAACTGAGCTTTGTGACTTGGGTGAATTTAATAGATTACTCTGGGACCTCCCACTATTGCTTTTTGTTTGTTTGTCTTAAATTGATTTTACAACCGTTCTGCATATTTGGGCATCCAATACAGAACCTCTGTATTGTTCTCTGAGAGACCTGCCTGGAAGCCCACACGTTGTGAACAGCAGCAGTTCCCACAGCTGCCCAGAGCTCTCTGCTCACCATACCTGTGCAGGAGCAAGGAGAGCAGCAGGCACAAAGCAGGGCAAGGTGCTCCTAATGATTGTGTGCTGTCCCTGGAGGATGAGACTTCAGTGACATCTTGAGAGCTGATGCTCCTTGCTGGGAAGCACCTTGGCTTGCTTCTGCTCTTCCCAGTGACCAGTAATTGTTGTTTGCTAGAGGAGATGATTGCTATCCCTCAGGTGCTCTCCTAGGGTTAATAAGGGCTTGTGGGTGGTGGTGAGGAGACAAGCTGTGGTGAGGTCAGTGCTTATCGGTGTTTCGGTCTCGTTAATCAGTCTTGCTAAGTGGAATTTGCCCAGTCTGAGGCTCTGAAATGGGGAGAAATAATAGCGCTAAATTGTTTGAAAAATAATTTTGTTCTCCACTTCTCAGTAGATAAATCTGCTGTCCAACAACCTGAAATTTAATCTGTCCATCTAAAGTAATTGATGAGCTGCGACTTGAATCCAAATGTGAATGGGAGGGGAGATTTTCTGCAGAGATGCTTTTGTATCACTTCTGCAGCTGCTGCTTTCTGCTAGAGACAATGGGATGCAGCAGGGGAGCACCAGAGCTGCAGAAGGTGCAGGGCTGCTGTTTGGAACGGGACATGAGCTTCCATTGTGCTTGTGGCTTTAATTACTGCTCCCAAAATTCACTGGTAAAGCCTTGATGTGGAGGAGAGCTAGACCAGACAGAGATATTTGGAGAGATAAGGAGCTAAAGGTCATGGTTTAACGAGCGGTGGTCAATGCAGGGTTCTGGTAGCTCCAGCCCTGTGGATCCTGATGGGCACTTGGATGCTCTTAGGCTTTCTCACTGCTCCTGACTTTGAAACAAGCAAAGGGAGTGTCAAGAGCTCTGTGCTTCAGCTGGCTGCAGGCCTGCTTGTGCAAGCACCTGCATGGCTCTTATCTGGGCTTCGTCACTCTTGTTGCCCCTCCAAGTGTTAAAGCAGCACGCGGGGAACTCAGCATGACTCAAAGTCAGCCTTTCGTTTTCTTAAGAGGTTTAGACTGCTGCGTACCCGTTTCACCACTGATGATTGCAAATTCCATATTTTCTCAATGAGAGCTTTTTTCCTTTCCCGTTTGTGACGGCCGTGATAAGCAGATGCTCACAGCTCCCCCATTGAGGGCTTTCTTTTCGCCTGGTGTGTTTGGGCTGTGTTGGAAGTCAGATAAGAGGAAATCTGACATCACAGTCAGGAAGTGCTAAAGAAAGTCGCTTTCGTCATTCATCATAGGTTATCTACAATGGTGAAGCTGCAGCATTCCTTGCATGCTGCAGGGCCCATTTAAAGCCCACGGCTTTGGACCAGGTTCAGCAGCGTGGCTCTGTGCCACCCAGAGTTATTGTACGTGGCTCCAGAGCACTAACCCAGCCCTGCAATCACTGCTTCCCAAAGAGACCAGCTCTGAAAAGCTGTGAGCTTTCCCATCATCCCACACCGACAAATCACCTGCCCCACTTTTTCCTTTCCCTAAAATTCTATCATTCGGTTTCTCTCGGGGATCCCAAGCCTTTCACTAGGTTTGCACCAGCCTGAATGTAGGAATTGGGGTCTGCTGATGAGCATCTTCCAAATCCCACCCTGGGCTGTTTGGTTGCTGAGCAGACACTGCAGCATTCACAGGCTTCAACCCAGAAGCTGCTGAGGAACTTCTATGCGCAGGGCTGCTGTCATGCCATGATGTGATGCTGAGATTGCACTCGCTGAGTTTCTACAGGGCTGGTGGCAGTTTGTTTACCTCTCTGCAATGCAGTGCACTGAAAAATAAGCAAATCTGTTCTGAAACTTGGTGTGTGCAGGTGCTGGGGGCCCTTCTGCAGCCAGCATGGCTCAGGGGCTGTGGTTGCTGCTCATTACCACCCCCAGCAGTGATTCAGGGCATTTTGTTTCTCCAGACGTTTCTTGCTCCCGTTGCTGGGCCTTTGCAGCGTGTCTTTAAACAGATGATGGGGCCCTTCCGTGATGCCTGTCATCTCTTCCTCGATGCTTGTCACTGTGTGAGCTCGGTGGCTGGCTGTGTGCACACGGTGTCTTTCTCCTGCTAACTCAGCAGCTGGTGGCCTGATGGCTCCCAAGTTGGAATTGGGTGAGCAAAGACACTTGGACACAGCCCGTGCTGGAAAAAGTATTTGGTTCTGTCCTTCCTTAGCAGGCACAACCCAGGATTGGGAGCCCTGCCATGGTGTGCTGGCATGCTGTTGGAAATGGTCAGGATGAGGCATTTCATTGCCTTGGGCATGCAGTCTCTGAGATCTCTCAGAAAGGAGGCAGTGTGAAGCTGGAGCTTTTCGTGGAATCAAAAATGCACTATGTGGAAGGTTCAGGATCTGGCATCCTCCACCTCCAGCTCAGCTGAACACCAATGCTGTGCAAGTCAATCTGAAATGAGCCCTTCAGCCATCCCTTCTCCTCAAGCCCTGGGACCTGCAGGGGTGCTCTGCTGAGAAATGCCCCTTGCTATGTGCAGTTGTGGCTGTAACCTGTGCCAGTCACGTTCAGAACTGGAGGCTGAAAAGGATTTAAAATAAACATGTGCTTTGAAATCTGAAATCAATGGGGCTGCCATGTGAGAGCAGCCATAGGCCTGCTGCAAGCAACCAGCGTGCACAGGATGTGAATTCCTGCAGGCACCCAAAAGACAAAGTTGTTTCATAACCCGTATCAGCAAGAAGTTGTAAAGTGGTTCCAAAAACCCTTTCTGTCTAGACAGGTTATATTTACGGCAGCATTTATGTGAAATAGAGGAATGCCCCAGAAAAACAGAATTGTTTTCAGTTTCTGCCTCTGGTGCTTGTTTGTCTAATGAGAGCACTGATGTGATGGCTGTGCCCGGTGCTGGGAGCTCAGCTTCACGTGGAGGGGCTGAAGGGGAGGAAAGGTGATGGGGTGTGGGTGAATCCATGTGTTGGGAATGAGGTGGTCCTGCAAATCCATCAGCACCGACCTGAAGCATCATCATAACAGCAGTGATGCTGACGTGCTGCAGTTGTGCTTACAGATGTAGTGAGTACAACTTGTGCAGGGAGCTGCCAGCAGGAGCGTGTTGGAAATGGTTAAAAGCTCAGCGCTGGGCTTCTGTAGCCCCTCAGCTGTAATTTATATTTGGGTTAAGGCTTGAAAGGGAAACATTCTGGCTTGAGCTTTCCAGCCTTTCCGCAGTGTTACCTTATGTTTGAACTGTGAAAGTTGTTTTTCAAAAGGGTGTTTGTTTCTGCTGTGCAGCTGAGAACACAGAAGTCCTATCAGGGCACCAGGAGCCCGACTTCTCCAGGAACAACAAATAAACCAACGCAAGCGTTTTTCAGTGCAAGTCCCCAAGTTCCTATTAACTTGTCTCACACATGAATTTAGCTGGGGGAAATCTCCATTCAAATCTGTGCCCGTCTCGCTTATTTTTTTTTTTTCTTCTCCCTTTTATGTTTTCCTTTCCCTCAGTTCCTCTGCTTGAAGAACATCCGAACCTTCCTAAAAGTGTGTCACGACAAGTTTGGGTTAAGAAACAGCGATCTGTTCGACCCCTTCGACCTGTTTGATGTGCGGGACTTCGGCAAGGTAAGAGCACAGGGGATGCGAGGGCTCAGTGCTGCTGCAGCTCTGCAGGTTTGTGCCATGCTGTCGTGAATGTGGGAAGGCTTTGTGATTTTTTTTCTGAGCAAATTCTGTGCCTTAACCCATGCATCTGGCTTGCGGTAGCTTGAATATCTGGGGGCTGATTCTGCTGTGTAATAGTGAATTAGGGGAGCAAGCACTCGTGCTTTGTTCAGGTTGCAGAGCCTCTGCGATCAGCCTGTAAGTCCATGGGAGATGGCTTTTTTGGGGGGGATGTGCTTCAGGGTTTTCCCCAGGTGTGTGTGTGCAAATCATGCACTGTCCACCCCAGCTGCTGCTTCTACCACGAGCACAACAGCCGTACCGAAATCACTGTCAGCTCTGCGATGGGGTGCAGGGAGTTTCTGAAGTGGTCAGAAAGTTTCATGCCAAGGCAAAATTAGCAGCAAAGTGAAAAATGCATGTGGAGGGTTCCCCCCCTCATTACCCCCACTGGGTGCTGGCTCTGTTGGTGCTTTGTCACCCAGACATGGGGGGGACTGAGCGCATCCTGGTGTTGTGCTGCAGCTGATGGGCAGCATTGAGTGCTGTAGGAGCCCCAGCTGTGAGGGAGGAACATCCTACGTGGTTCTGATAAGATCCTGTTGTTCTGCTCCCTTTGCTTCTGACATGTAAGGCATCAGGAGTGCACTGTTACTCTGATGGATTTGGAGCTCAGGGAAGCTATTACATGGGACAACTGCTATATTCTGCAGTGGAAAAGGTGTGAAAAGATTTATTAAAGCTCTTTCTCTATTGTTTTACCTCCCTGTAACTGCCAGGCATAAGCTGCTTGAAGGCATCTTCTCCTCCTCCGATTATCCAGAGCGTAGATTTTCACTGCTGATGGGGATGTATTATTTGATATTTATTGCCTAATTTATTTCTGGACCATTATCTGGAATGTGCAATCACAGGGGCTTGTTTTATGAGTTTTTTAATTTATGAAATACAAGGCAGCTCTTGTTGCTCTGGGAATAGGAATGCACAGAGGGCACCTTTTGGGCTGGGGAAAGAAGCGCCGCTAATTAAAACGCTGCTTTATTGTCACGTTTCTCTCGCTCTGTGCTGCTTCACGTCACCATAGGAGCCCATGAGCAGAGCCTGGTGGGATGCAACTCCTGGAACGTGTCAGCTGAGCACAGCTTTGTTTCCTTTGTGTCTTGGTTTAGCTTCTCCTGACTCCTCCTGTTTACTTTTCGGAGGTCATTGAGGACTTCGCAGCCTTTGGTCTGTAGCAGGGGAAGCAGATGATGTGCTGTTGGCTTTTAACCCGTAACAGTGCCGTTTTTGTTGGTTTTTAAGAGGCTTTGGAAAGGAAAAAAAACTTATCACAAACTTCAGAGGGACCCAAGCGTGCTCGGTGGCTGGGATCGTGCTCGCTTTAATGCGCCCTGTCTTCAAACAGCCTCACGTGGTTTGCGAGGCACAGGTTCTGCGCACTGAAATCTCTTCCTGCTGTGGCTGTCATGAGTTCGGTGGGATGTCAGCTGCCCTGAGTCCCTCTCAGAATGTCCCCATTGTCTTTGCCACCTTTCATTCCCACTCGATCCTCAGATCTGCGTTCAACAGCGGCAAAGCAAATAAACAGGGAAAAATCTGCAGCTGACCGCAGCGCCTTTCCGCTTTGAGCCTCAGTCCTGTGAGCTGAAAGAGCCTTCAATTCACGTTCCCACTGGCCAAGGGCAGACTTCACACACAAAAAATCCTCCCCCAAGCCATTCATTACTTATACCAGTAGTGCGTTTTGGCCTGTGAGACGCTTTGGCTGTATTAGAGACTTTCAGAGCAGTGCGTAGGAATTAAGGACTGTTTAATTACATAGGGAGCAGTGCTGGGTGGTTCCTTTCTGAGGGCTTGAAAGCAGTTATTTCTCTCCTCCAGACCTGAAGGCTGGTTAGACAGCAATCACCGACAGCACTCGGACTTGCTGAAGTGTGATTAGCAAACAGAATGTGGCAGTGGGGACTCTCATCCCTCTTTGGGCTTTAAGCTCAGGAAGTCGCTGCTTCCTTGCTGCCAGCAGGAGACCAGCTGGAGAAATGGGATCGCTGGCCATGTGGGCTGCTCCAGCCCAAATCCCCATGGGGCTGAAAAGATCCATCTCAGCCTTCGTGGGATGTTGGGTAATTGGCAAGCGCGGGCTTCTGCGGAATGGATGTGTCATGGTTCTTGTAATCGGGGCTGCAGTGTTTCCCAGTTACCCCAGGGAGCTGAAGAGCCAATAGCTGCTCACAGCCAATATTTTCCTGATGTCCAGTTGTTTGGCAAGCCCTCTGTCGCAAGGGGAGGGCTGTGCTTCACAGCATAGGTTGCCAAAAGTGACCTGCAGTGCTGACTGCCCACATTTCCAGTTTGTAAACGCTTTAAAAGACCAAATTGTTTAAAAGAATACGTTGTTTTCTCCAAGTTGTATCGCAGCTTTTCTTGGGTTTGAATCCTTTTTCCTTGCGAGGAGCTCAAAAACCATCATCCACAATAGGATGTATGAAACTGTACGTATAAACTGCTCTATGGTTGCATTGACTGCAGGACGAGGTGGCACAGCTATGTCTGAAATGAGGGTCTGGCATTGCACGGGTGCTGTGCCCATTCCCTGCTAACACAGCCCGGCTCCTGGAAGAGAAATGAAATGAAATAAAGCCTCAGTGCTCGCGTACAGCGTGGTGCTGCGCTGCACTTCATGCACATTTAATAGCAGCAATGATATAAAACACAACTCTTATTGGACTTGCTAATTTATTGGCACCGACTATGATGAGATAAAATGTACATAAATATGGATTAAACTCTTTATCACTCTATTAGTCAGCATGATAGCAGCAAGGTTCATTAAATGGAGTTACTCATTTTCAATAACTTGCAGTAATGTACCTTTTTTTTTTTTTTTTTTTGGAGAAATATAGTTCAAATATTCATAAACCCACAGAGTGTGCTGTTTATTAGCCTCCCACTCCTCTCTGCTTTCCTGATGTGTGTTTAATTGTCATCGCTTTTCTCCAGAAGTTCTTGGGCTGCTTGGAACGAAGCTGCGCCCCGCGTGCTGTGTACATACAGCTGCCCCATGGGAAGGGACAGCAGCACAGTGCTCCCCTTCTTGCACCCTTTGCACCATCTCAGCCACTCAGTGGCTGCTCTGTGGGGCTTGGGTGCGTGTCCAGAGAGGGATCCTATGGAGGCTGATCTGCTGATTGCTCTGTAAGTCGCAATATATGACGTGTGCAGTGGGTAGGAAGAGATGAGAGCAGCGCTCCCCAAAAGAAGGGTGTGTGCATTTCTTTTAAGCTCCCATGGGAGCAGCACTGTAACCAGCCTGCAAAGAGTACATGGAGATGTGCATGCTGCTGCTTGTTTAACTCTGCATCAGCTTGGATGTTGGGATGGAAAATAAAGCTGGGAGAGGACGAGTTGGTTCTGTGGGTCTGCTTTGGGGTGGGTGGCGCTTTGCCCGTGGTCAGAGCGCACAGAGCTGAGCAGTGCAGGACGCAGGGGTTGTAGGCTGCTCCTTGGCTTACAGGCTGGCTCACAGCAGGTGCAGTGAGTCCCACAGATGTTTTTGACCCACGCACTAAAATCGCGCACAGGAAACCCTGACGCTGAACTTCCCTATAGCAAATAGGGGCGAATGAATTGCTGATCTCTGTGGCTAGCCAAGCGTGCACCAGGTGCTGCGTTCTGTTGCACAGACCTCCTGCCATGCTGGCCATTGGAGCTGTGGCTCTAACTCCTGTGAATTTCCCCCAGCTCTCTTATGGAAGCTGGAAGCCAAGCTGTGTTGTGCCCTGTGGTGTCTCCTGTCCCCAGCTGGCTGAGAGCAGAGGCTGTGCCCCCCCCCCACCCGCTGGTGGCCCTCCGGCACTCAGCCCAGCACAAGCTTCTAGCTGCATGGTAACCAATTAGCACTGTTTTTCCCCTTTCCTCTCTCCCCTACTTGCAAATCTGCACTGTTTATAGATGCACAGCTTTTCGGTGGAACCGAAAGAGCCAGAAATGTTTGTTCTGGGAAGCTTTGCTTTCTCTCCTCCCCTCCCCCCCTCCTCCCCCCTTCTTGGCTGCTTTCCCCAGTATTTTTCCAAGGGGTCACATTAAGGGGTATTAAGTTTCAGATCAAACAAGCATGGCAGGATCTTTCGTAACTCCCATGGTCTGCATGGGAGCGCTGTTCTCAAAAAGCAGCTGGATGTTGTAATGTGTGAGGAATCCAAGGTATCGATCAGGACATGGATAAATGCATATTCCTAATGTGTAGGAAATTGATTTTCCTTTAGTTCCTTCACTTGGCTGAGTTCTCCTTGCAGTCATATTGGACAAGATTGGGGTGAAAATGATGTTTTTTACTTCGGAAAACCTTTGAGCAATAAGACATCCACGTCTCTGCCTCCACAAAGGGTTTTCCTATTGTTTAAAAAATGTCTGGTTGCATTTGACCCCTGCAAGATGTTTTTCCTTTATTATGTCATCGGGCATTTGTGACTTAATGACTTGGTGAAGATCATCATGACTGAGAGATGTCCCCAGGCAAAGTGAGTCCTTCTATACTCAGTGCTGCGTTGGTGCATCTGGCATCACTTGAGCTCAGCTGTTCTGTGTGCATTGGCAAAAGGAAGGAAATCCAGCCCGGGTCGTGTCATTGAAAGCAGTCCTGGGATAAAAGGAGGTTCTTATTCCATGATGATCCAGGGCTCTGATGTTTCTTTATTAAAATCTTCCCTATGTTTCCTAAGCTCTTGGAGCTGCAGCATCTGATAGTGAGGTTGTCTCAAGGCCAAACGCTTCAGTTACACAGAATAATTAACATTTCTTGAAGCAGATTAACGTGTGGGTGTAACCCTGTGTAGGCAGAACGTGCCAGAAGTGAAACTCTCAGCCTGAAAGCACTGACACGACCAAATGCCACCAACCTGGGGCAGCTCTGCATCCTCCCCCTTTGGAACAGATTTGAGAGAAAAAAAAGGCAAAAAAAA